AATTTCAGAACTCAGCGCACACCATCTTTCTCTCATCGCTGCTATTATTTTGAATGAGCTACAGATATGAATCTCGGAAGGATCGGAGACGACAAATAGCCCTCTCATATGCTTCAAACGGGTTTTGGATCGGCTTTACGGATCCTGAACGGGAAGCAGTTGTTCGGACTGCATTTTTCAGAAAAAGTGATTGCTTCAAAGTCTCTCCTTCACGACAGTTGGCAGACAGTTGCCTGTCAGTTGGCAGAGAGCCATGCTTCTCTTTAGAACTACAATGACTGAAGGTTAGAACTACAACATGGCGGAACACTCGGTGCCTACTGAAGAAGGAAGAGCTGAATGTCAGAATTACAACATCGAGGAACTCTCAGTTAATACAGAAGAGAGATCAGCTGCTATTTAGAACTACTTGCTGTTTTGGGCATTATATAGCTGGATTAACCAAACCACTGTTACACATTGGATTAGTGCGGCAATTTAAAATGAAGCTTACTGAAAATTTCAAAATAAAAGCCTTGACATTTTTCACATCTGGTAATTGCTCTTTTGGGCTTTATGTGACTGGTTTAAACAAATACTTATGCTAGGGTGCATAATCTATAAAAAAAGACTTGTAAACTTTGACAAAAAAAAAAAGCTCAAGGAGGAAAACGGGAAACAGCCTGTTCCTCATGCTCTATCATTGACAGAGCAGCTTTGCCATAAATCACAGCTACTTTTAACATGCATGGCTTTGATTTCCAATCAGATAACATGACAATGATAGTGACCTGTGATAAAATATCAGCTATTTTTTTTTTCATTGCAATATTGAAAACAACTACATCTCCATATCTGCAGTTCTTAATGGTCCCTGATGTCAGTGTCTTTTGTTGTATAGAAAACCAAATCTCTCCAGCTTTACTGGATATTTTTTCTAAGAAAGGTCCTATGTACTGTCACATCAAGCTACATACTCGGACATTTTCAGGGACATTATTTTCCTCTGTGACTCATTCGGTATCCTGATTAGCCTTGTACTTTCAATTTAATGCTTAAAAAATACACTAGACCAAAGAACGTAGGAGAATGATTTCTTTATTTATTCCCCAGAATGAGATGATGTTGTTATGGTATTAATATTTTTTCCAAAAGAAAATATGAGGTCCAATAAAAAATGGCATTTCATGTTATGCTGATGTTCCTTCTGCTCAGACAGTATATTGTTTATAAGGCTGGAGAAGGAAGCAGATTAACTAATTTACCTGTGTTGTTGTTATTATTATCATTATTATTATTATTATTATTATTATTATTATTACTACCATGTTTTCATGACGAAATATCTCTCGTCATAAAGAAAACAAAAATATATTGAGAAGATAGTGCTGTATGGTTTCATATTTTATTTAAAATGATAAAATGGGAGCAGTTTTATTGATCAGCTTTAGTATACACTCTGAAAATATATTGAAGATATAAAATTTAGCGTCATCCTACGATTATTATTATTATTCTTTCACTAAATAAATACTTAGACAATCCCCTGTCAGACATAGACTGCAGTTTTCTTAGTAACTACAGAGAATTATCAGACAGTTTTATGTTGCTGTTTGTGAAAGACCCAAGTGCAGACAGTGACTGTGGCAGAACAGAGTTTGCTACAGAAACCTTACAGGGGAATTGTATGAAGAGCAGGTCATGGAGTTCAGACAGAATAACAGAGGGAAGGAACAGCAAGGAACATTATATGAGCCTAAATACATAGGCAGAGGTGGAAAATGACAAACGAACCAAATGAGCTTATCAGAAGAAATGTGGAATAGATGTCACAGAATGAAAGCAGAGAAACTGAGGAAGGGAGACTAATTAACATAAAGCAGCTGAACAAAGACTCAAAATGGACTACAAACCCAGGGAGAAGACTTAGATCTAACAACAATAAATCCAAATGCACAAATAACATTACAGAAGAATAAAGTAGAAAACTAAATACAAAGAAATGAACTAAAATGTCAACACCTTGCTGACGATGTCAACCACAGAGAGACTGAATATGGCAAGACTTATGGAACATAAATGAACAACAACAAGTGAGCGAAACCCAGACGCAAATGAAAACAAAAAAAAACAAACACCCAAGGATCATAAACAAACACACTTTCTACTCTCTACAGTGTGATCAGGCATCTACTTAATTTGGTGTTCTGAGAAAAAATGTGAAACATGTTTCACCTGTACATTTCCCCCCCACAATTTTCACAGGTTAAATCCAGATACATAATCTAACTACTACGTGTGAAACACTTGTTGCTACGCCATATAATTTGTATTTGTGAAACATTAGAAAACATTCCACATGTGGTAAAATGCTTAGCCACAAAATAGAACTTCCACGTTTCACATTACCTTACACAAAACCCCCACCTTATCTACTGCATAGTGGGGTTTTTTTCCCACACTACATTTAGTTTCCACAAATGGAAATGCATATGGAAAAAATGTATGTTCCTTAAGGTTTCTATTGCAATCATGTTTTATTAGTTTTAACATCAAGACGTGTTTTATTTCTTGAAAAGTTCAATGTGAGTCTCGTAAACACAGATTTAATGAACGAGTGAAGTGCTGTAATACCTCGAGCTAGAAGCTCCCAAGCAACGCTGCTGGGTTGAGTTTTTGTTGTGAACTTGGTTGGAGCTACTTCCAATTTGTTTGGGTCATTATGGTTGAGCTGAAACTCTTGTGCAGTTGTCATGGTGAGAAGAAAAGCCAAACTAAATAAAGAAAGCCCTACATTTCTCTCTTTTCTTTAATTCAACAATTTCGGTTCTTGACAGTCATGCCTGACCACAGAGAAATCCATTTTTGCTGTTTTTTCCTGTTACCCACACCTTGCTGGTTGTGCATTTGCTCACAGTTTTCTTATAGACTGACTTCATTATTATTCATATAGAAATGAATAATAATGTTGTCAGTAAAAAGCAAGTGAAATAGGTTGTAGAGTTGCCTACAAATTGGAAATCTATAACTACTTTAATCCCTCGCACTTTCACTTGTGAGAACAAGAAAAAGTGTGACTTCTTTATGAAATAATTATACTGTGACTCTTTTCTGAGAGCTTCGAATTTGTCTGTATGTATTGTGCAGCTTGACTGTTGGTCCAGCTAAATTCATTTCGGGGAAAAAACTAAGTTGTTGTTTCTGGCGTTTGTTCTGCTAGGTTTCCTTAAAGGAAACCTTTTAACCAATTTGAATATTAAAACGACCTTGAGTGCATTGTTGATAACTACGGTTAATTGAATCTATGTGACTGAATCAAATTGTTTTTTTCTTGCAAAGTGTCTTTTTGTGACATGTGCTTTTAACTGTCTCTAAATAAATAAACTGAACTGAAATCTGTGGATCTCGAAGATGTAATTTCAGGGTTTGAAATGTAAAAAAATTTAACTATTAGAAAAGATTTCAAAACATTTTCCAAATTTGATATGACATTTATTTTGTACAACACGACAGAAAAACAGACAAATAAGTTTAACTTCAAGAAGTGCAAAACCCTGGTTGCATTTAGTTGTTTTCACTCCTGAAAGCAAATATGCTGAATCTTATCAACCTTAGAAGTCTTAGTAGAATTTTCTTGAAATTTGCTCCTTCACATCATTTAGACAAAGCCATAGTTTGCACAGAGGGGTCAAAGCATGGAATTAGTATGATTGTATAATGTACAATAAGAAAATAAATTAACCAATTATTAATTGATTCATTTCTTCTAAATATAGTCAATAGTAATTCGAAAAAAAGAAGAAAAACTCGATGTTCCCTAACTGAAGGGGACACCAGGTGGATCAGTGGTAGAGCTCATATTCAGAGGCTACAATCCTCAGTGCAGTTATTATGCATCATGTTTTGTTAATGAAATCCCAACAAATTACCATAACATTTGTGTTTGTGATGTGAAAAACTTCAAGAAGATTGTATGAGCTGAAGAAAATCTATTTATCACATTTAAGTTGGTCTGTGTTGCTAGGCCTGCTGCTTGATTTTGCACTGTTATAAAGATGGATTAAACTGAAAACAATCTAAAAGCAGTCGTCATTTCTCTCTTTTTTTAATATTTCCCCAGAACCTACTACATACGTACCATACTGTGCCGCATTATGGTGTGGATGAAGTTAAGGATGGAGATGGATTCCCTTTGGATACGACTAAGAAGAATGCCCCGTGCCTTTTGGTTCATCCTGCTGTTTGGTGTTGGAGTTGCACTTCTCTTCCTTCACATAGAGATCCTGTCAGAGATGTTCCTACAGCAAGGCCCTGGTTAGTCTCTACTTCTTTTTTCTTTTTTTGCTAAAGTTTGATAAGGATGATTGTAGAAGAATACTCACAATCAATCTTGTGAGTGCTTATCCTCACCTGGATGCGATTTTCTAATAACGATAGATTAAACTGATAAACTTTCCAAATAGAAACTAGTGTGTTGAAGAAAGCTCATAAAGCTGAGCCTGAAATATATACTTTATTTCAATTACACAGATGTTGCCTTGCATAACTTTAATATGTGTGTAGGTTTAGGTATGCCTATTCATCAAGGCTTATTCAAGTGCAAGAGAGGAAAATATGGCAGGATGTCTGATGTCCCTGATCTCAGGACCTTGTAATCCATCATAACTAATCTGTTGTGTTGTCTCCTACAAATTTACAACTTGGAAACACTCATATCCTTTATTGGCTCATGTTGATACTTTACATCCTGCTCATCTTAAAGAACCCCATGGTGTCCATTGCTCTGTTGCATAGTGGGAAAGGATAAAAGGGAAAGGAGGGAAAAAGCATAACAGCGTTCAGAACTGGTTTTAGGCCTATTTGTACATTTTTAGAACTAAAAATTGTATTTAGGATTTTTATAGCTATAGAAATTGGTAGGTAGGTTTGAAATTGTTAAAACCTGAAGGCAAATCTTCTGGAACTTGGGTGTATTTCCACAGCTGGATCCTTTTCCAAAAACCAGGGTCATCTTCTGGTTACAGGGCCAAGCTGTTGTTTGGAGTATGAATCTACCCCACACAGCAGCCTTGATAGCGAGGTAGTGCGTAAGTTTTGATGGACCCTGTACTACAGGTGGAGTTTTGTTTTTGTTAGATAAAGTATTCGCAGCATTTTGTTTCAGACAAATCCCAACTTAAGCTTCTGCACAGTTCATGTTTTGTATGAACTTTTAATTATAAAAGAGGAGTAATTGGTGTTGCCTTGCAAACAAAACAAATCTATCATGTTTAACCTTTAGATTCAAATACCTTCACAAGATCAGCTAACAATTTTAGGAGTAAATAGAGTGAGTCGAAATACAGCTTCAACAAGGCTTATACTGTCAGATTATCTGAATAAAAAGTGTAGCAAACACTAAAAGCATTAGGATCCAAAAGGTTACCTTGTAAATATTTTAAAAACACCATAGAGTTTTTTTTATAGATACAGCATGTGCCGGTGATTTTACTTGAGTTTATAAAAGATAGAAAACTAACTCAAAATATATGGAACTTTTCTAAAGGCATCACAAGTTTGGGTAGCAGGTTTGAGAAAATATATGTGTTTAAAACTGTTTAATCAGAATGAATGTGGGAGGAATGATGACATTAATCACCGCATTAGCTGACTTAATTCTGGACATCAGGGATGTTAGGAAGATTTATAAAAACTGTCCAACATGAAATGTGTCTTTTTCTATTCAAAGTTCTTTCCAGATTTAATTTCTAAATGGGGAAAACTTTATCCTAAAATTGTGACATGGCCTGACCCTGTTTGACTCCCAGCACTAAAGAGATTGGGGCTTTAAGCAGCCATAATGGATGTGTAAAACTAAGCTGGTTCATGTCTTAGAAAAAATGAGATCAGCTATGAGCTTATGCACATCTTTGGCTTTGCAACAACACTTTCAGCTAAATGAAATAAAGCATTATTTCTGTGCCTCTTCTCTCGTGTCTACTTTAATACTTAAACCCTTTATGAAAAACAATCCCTTTTACCTAAAATTACACAGAAATTAGATTAAATTATGGAATCTGCTAGCTTTACTGAATTTATATGCTGTAAAGGAACAGCTGACAAACACATCAACCTGTTTTTCCTGGAGATAAAATCCTCACCAGCAGAAAACAAGCAATCCTCTGAATATCTACAATATCATGTGTCAAGAGCACTGTGAATCATTACAAAGAGGAGCAGTGTCACACTCCACGGCAACAAGAGCCACTTATCCAGAGTGCAATCTCCCCAACCCTTTAATATTCACTCGATCAGCGTAAGCTTTCAGGTCCAATTTTGCCTCCCCCCCCCAAAAAAAGTGGAGCTATTACAAGAACACAAACATAGCAAAGACCCAGAAACACACACCAGGCACCCTGCAAGACAAATTGCTATTATGTAAGAAACTAAAAGAGGTGACAACTTTGATATAATAACAAATAGTTGGTTGGAGGAAACATACCATTATTGGATAAGTAGATATGCGTTTTGTTTTCTCTGTGCTGTTTGAATAATAAAAACATCTGGAAGGTAAGCTCCGGTTTATAATTTTGGTAAGAATTGAAGTGATGGAAAATGACTAATTAATATGGAAGTGTGGATTAGAGCTCTGCAAATGCAAACTAAAGTTCAGATCTGGATTTAAAGACTTACTACAAAGTTAAGTAAAGTATTTGAGGGATTTTAATTACCTAAATCTAAAATTAGATCACAGACACACTTATTGATTGACCATAAGCATTTTCTTCTGCTAAAACAGAATCATCCAAAGCTCTCATCCCAGGCAAACCTCCAATTGTATCAGCAAACTCAAAATAAAGGCAGAAAACTAATTCAATTCAGCTCAAAAATACTTCATTAATCCCAAAGGGAAATTAAACATTGTTGTAACTCATCATATGTGTCACAAGCAATGTTGTTACAGATGGTGATGGCTGGGGGCAGGAAGGGTCTCCTGTGACTGTCTACATTACAGTTAGAAGTTCTGAAGAAACTTCTAACTGAAGTTTCATGACAGCCTGATGAAGGGACTGTTTAGGGTTGTCCATAATTTTCTTCATTTTATAAAGAACTCGGTAACACTTTATTTGAAGGGGGTTGAATAAGACTGACATGACACTGTCATAAACACCTGTCATGAACATGAATAAGCCTTCATGAATATTTATGACTGTTGTCATAAAGCGTCATTCGGTAAATTATGACACTTTTAATACAAAGTTGACATTATTCAAAATGTCTTTGTTATGACAACTTGACATTAACCAAGAAATCATTACTGATGTAAATTTGTTATAAAAGAATTACTGATTGCACTTTAAAAATTAGGTAACTTTATGTTATTAAAGGTTTAAATAGTAATGATTTCTTGGTTAATGTCAAGTTGTCATAACAAAGACATTTTGAATGTCAACTTTGTATTAAAAGTGTCATAATTTACCGAATGGCGCTTTATGACAACAGTCATAAATATTCATGAAGGCTTATTCATGTTCATGACAGGTGTTATATCATGTTTATGAAAGTGTCTCGACAGTCTTATTCACCCCCCTTCAAATAAAGTGTTACCAAGAATTCTTCTTTGCACAATCATCTTCATATGTTCCAGAGCAGTCCCAAAGCATAACCAGCCTTCTTTATCAGCAGTCCCAAAACATAACCAGCCTTCTTTATCAGCAGTCCCAAAACATCACTAGCCTTCTTTATCAGCTTCTTGAGCCTTTTAAGTCACTGAATCTTATGCTGCAGGTTAGGCTAAAACTAACCTGTATTTAATTTACAGCCCAAATAACAGATTGAAGTTTGTCAAGCAGTAACTCAGTACTACTGTAATGCAGGCATGAGTAAAACATTGGTGGAGGAAAATTCAAAGCAAAGCTCTGTGTTGCATTGGGATTCAAAGATTCACTCTCTGAACTCATGAAAGACTGAGGCGCTGAAGCTTGATACTGGAAACACCAAGCCAAGTTCATCCTCATACTGAAGACCCATTCACACCCACTGACTATCTGTAACATATCTGCAGAAATATAAAAATGTTATTTCTTGCATGAATCCAAAGTGGTCGCAGGAAGCTGAAAACGATGAGCTGAAAAACTGGAGGTGATTATTATGAAATGATCTAAACTATTTAAGTAGTAGTAGCATTTTATTAATAACCTGCTCAAAAAGATTGCATCTAATCACAAGACAAGTATATTCCTGGAAAGAGGTCAACGCTTTAAAAAAGACTTGCCACACAACCATGCACAGTATGCATACCTAAGAGACACCAGTTAAACTAAAATTCATGAGTTTTGGACTGATGAAGCCAGAGTACCCCCTGCACACACAGCGCTAATGCTGGGACTCTAACCCAGGACCTTCTTACTGCAAGGCTAAAAGGCAGCGCTATCAGCTGTACCACTGTGCAGAAAAAACCTACATTAAAGTTAAATCTAAAATAATTATGATCAAATTGCAAAAAAAAAAAAAAGAAAAGCAGTGACATTATTCTTTGGACGCAAATTAGTTATTTTTTCTCATTTGACTGCTAGCTATTTTTTTTCAAAGATGTATTATCAGTTTTTAATGAGATTTGCTGCCTAAGCACATCCTTTTGTTTCTTCTACTTCACTCCTACTTTAATATTAAAGTAAGAGTTTCACTTTCCTAAATCATGCATGAGGGACTGTGTGCTGTATAAAGAAGGCATTGGCAACACTGCCTTCACAGCCTCACTCTCTGAAGCACAATGAGCAAGCAGTATCTTGCCTTAAGCTGTGGTGCTTCACCCTTGCAGAAGCTCATATCTAATAGAGCTGAGTCTTAATGCATTGGGTGTCAGCTTTTATCTGCCTTCCGTTCTTTCTCTAGCTCTTTATTTGGTTTGTTTCTGAGAGTCTTGTATCCCCTGCATTAGATGGCCTGTATTATTGTAGTTGGAAAAACTGCTCTTTAAAGCCACGAGTCACCCCCTGATCTTTGCTCAATAATTGTTTGAGGACAATTGCGGAAACAGCAGCCACTTTCTCACAGAGCAGTTTGGATAAATTTGCACCACTGGGCTTTTATTTGTCTTTTTTTGCATATGGCTTTAGGAATGATGACCAGCTGCTTTAGGGAGTAGAAGCTCGGTATGTTTGTCATCTCACGTGGCCAAGCACAGTACTGTTCACAAAAGGAGGAGAGAAGAAAACGTGCGCTTAGTAGAAAGAAAGTTCTTTCTGCTATATGCGATCTTTGAAGTGCATTGCAAAACAGTATCCTACATTAGCAGTTCATTGCCCCTTGACACCGCAATCCTTTTTCATATA